AATTAAAAGACAAAGTCGTTCTAAAAATATATATTTCAGACGATTACCATTTTTACAAAGTGTTCTAGAACAAAGTACAGACAGCTGGACCTTCCTTTTTAGGCTACACAACTGCCTATATTTAAAAAGTTCCTTAAAAACACAAAAAAACCAATAAATATTAAGAAAAAATCTTCTTTAAAATTGGAATGGTAAATCTTACGACGTCTTGTTACTTCATCTTTGTCCATTGGGTTTCTGGCTCTTTGGCTCTTTATCTACTGAGGATTAGCGCTGACAAATGTAGATTAGGCCGATATCCCTCTGGTGACGAATTATAGCGATATATTTGGATTTCCGTCAGATGAATAAATTACTTTTTACAAAATTAAAAGACAAAGTCGTTCTAAAAATATATATTTCAGACGATTACCATTTTTACAAAGTGTTCTAGAACAAAGTACAGACAGCTGGACCTTCCTTTTTAGGCTACACAACTGCCTATATTTAAAAAGTTCCTTAAAAACACAAAAAAACCAATAAATATTAAGAAAAAATCTTCTTTAAAATTGGAATGGTAAATCTTACGACGTCTTGTTACTTCATCTTTGTCCATTGGGTTTCTGGCTCTTTGGCTCTTTATCTACTGAGGATTAGCGCTGACAAATGTAGATTAGGCCGATATCCCTCTGGTGACGAATTATAGCGATATATTTGGATTTCCGTCAGATGAATAAATTACTTTTTACAAAATTAAAAGACAAAGTCGTTCTAAAAATATATATTTCAGACGATTACCATTTTTACAAAGTGTTCTAGAACAAAGTACAGACAGCTGGACCTTCCTTTTTAGGCTACACAACTGCCTATATTTAAAAAGTTCCTTAAAAACACAAAAAAACCAATAAATATTAAGAAAAAATCTTCTTTAAAATTGGAATGGTAAATCTTACGACGTCTTGTTACTTCATCTTTGTCCATTGGGTTTCTGGCTCTTTGGCTCTTTATCTACTGAGGATTAGCGCTGACAAATGTAGATTAGGCCGATATCCCTCTGGTGACGAATTTTAGCGATATATTTGAATTTCCGTCAGATGAATAAATTACTTTTTACAAATTAAAAGACAAAGTCGTTCTAAAAATATATATTTCAGACGATTACCATTTTTACAAAGTGTTCTAGAACAAAGTACAGACAGCTGGACCTTCCTTTTTAGGCTACACAACTGCCTATATTTTAAAAAGTTCCTTAAAAACACAAAAAAAAACCAATAAAATATTAAGAAAAAAATCTTCTTTTAAAATTGAAATGGTAAATCTTACGACGTCTTGTTACTTCATCTTTGTCCATTGGGTTTCTGGCTCTACATTTGTCAGCGCTAATCTTCAGTAGATAAAGAGCCAGAAACCCAATGGACAAAAATGAAGTAACAAGACGTCGTAAGATTTACCATTCCAATTTTAAAGAAGATTTTTTCTTAATATTTATTGGTTTTTTTGTGTTTTTAAGGAACTTTTTAAATATAGGCAGTTGTGTAGCCTAAAAAGGAAGGTCCAGCTGTCTGTACTTTGTTCTAGAACACTTTGTAAAAATGGTAATCGTCTGAAATATATATTTTTAGAACGACTTTGTCTTTTAATTTTGTAAAAAGTAATTTATTCATCTGACGGAAATCCAAATATATCGCTATAATTCGTCACCAGAGGGATATCGGCCTAATCTACATTTGTCAGCGCTAATCCTCAGTAGATAAAGAGCCAAAGAGCCAGAAACCCAATGGACAAAGATGAAGTAACAAGACGTCGTAAGATTTACCATTCCAATTTTAAAGAAGATTTTTTCTTAATATTTATTGGTTTTTTTGTGTTTTTAAGGAACTTTTTAAATATAGGCAGTTGTGTAGCCTAAAAAGGAAGGTCCAGCTGTCTGTACTTTGTTCTAGAACACTTTGTAAAAATGGTAATCGTCTGAAATATA